GACTGACTAGCTGGAACTCCAGCGCATTCAAACGGAACATCCAGAGGGTATATAAAACAGAGCACATTCTAATATTAAGGCATAACTTCCATTGAATGTAATTTCGTTTTGTATGAGCAGATGTCACTATTTAAGAATGGACGTGCATTTGGACTAAAAATGCTCCAACCTATGCTACCATTCAACGATGTTCGCAGGAATGGATTAACCATGCCCGTAAAGAGCATTAAGAAGGTGACGGTCAACTGAGAGCGACCATAAAATGCGAGGACAGAATGATCGTCCTATCAGTACTCACAGCCCCTGAATCGTCCTTATTAGCGATCCAAAGTGTAACGGGCACACCAGTAACTACAAGAAGTATTGATACTCCATTCAGAGAACGGGGGTGGGGCTGTGGTCATGGAAGCCATTGCGGTGATTGCCCCTCACCGTTGAGCATCATCAGGCACGTCTGCAATGGTGTCGGAGACATTCGACCTGCGACCTCACAGACTGGGGATCTCTCAGGCTGAAGTAGAATCCTTCTCAGCTGTGAGTTCCGCTTCGAACTAAGCCTCGGTAATCAACGTAGACGCGTCAGGAGACGTCCAGGACAGCGGTGGGACACTCACTTAACTGTTGTCTGCCACAAGTCCAACAACCTAGAGTTATAGTAGGGAGTGGCATTTCATTTGATAGCCGGATCCATTTGGTTGTCATCTGTGACACCCTTGGAGCATGGCAGTACGTGAACGGGATTCTACACCACTAATGTTGTTCTTCCTTTCGCGGGTACCTGGACTCAATTTCTTTCAACAGGATAATGTCCGGCCTCATACGACACGCCATTATATTGCTTGTTTTCGTGCTTCTCCAGAACTTCCCTGGCCAGCACGACAGTCAGATCTTTCCTCAATGGATCACACTTGGGCTCTGATGAGCAGGCCTCTCCGACCGTCCCGGAGATTGCGCTGACTTAACTAGCTAATTGGAATGTATATTGGTCAAGCAGTCTCGCAGGAGGACAACAACCACCAAAATCTACCCGTTAATGCTGAGCCGGATAACAGCTGGCATATGGGCCAGAGGTGGGCCGAAGCGTTATAGATTTTTTTTTCTCTTGCAACTGTACTTCCTCAATAAAGCATTCAATTCTTACAATACTCTTATAGTTTCGTTACTAATACATGTACATGATATGTACCAATCTTCGTCCCATTCGGATCACTCCTTCTTAATGTGTCGCTTTTTAAGTTATAAAGTGTATATTGTACATATTACTAGTCACATCTGCTACATATTAAATGTAAATGCAGATGTTTACAAGAGAATTCAAATAAATTCCCCCCCCCCAAAAAAAAAAGCTCAAATAAAGGCTTTTTCTGCAGGAAGTAATGTGGATGATGTTGGCTTGTCGATACGTAAAGTCAAGTCCATAAAAGTCAAGGCGAATTCAGCATTTTTTTTACTTCATAAGCACATTCTAAATATGAATTTCACACCATAATGGGTGCACTTTGCGTGCTTGTTCCTGATCAAGTTATTGTCTTTTCTACATTTTTATAACAATTAATTTCTATGAACAAAGAGCATCAGGCAAGAAACCAGTTGATAACACAGAAGCGGCAAAGAGAAACTACATGTCCAAGATGAAAGCTCAGCTCAGAATGATTTAGTTTCTGTCAAGCTATATTTTGATCGATTAATTTTAATTTTCGGGTTGCAAATTTGGAATTATTATTGGCTGAAGTGTTACGCAAGTGCATACGTCATTATCGTTATGCAAGAATCATATGCCATGGATTAATTTTGAATGGCGCCATTAAAAGCGATTTAGTATAAGCAATTACTATTTTTAATACAAAAGGGAGTATAATTATGTTAATAAAGAGAATTTATGAGCTATTGCAAATTAAAGTTAGAATTCTGATGTACATATTTTTGTTACCTTATATATATATATATATATATACACGTGCTGTGCATTGTGCACTATATTAGGAACAATTGTTGCATTCATTATGATTGCGTAAATATATTAGTAATTGCTTCGACATCCAATTCATTTTTTACGATAGCAGCATGAATGACTACAAGTTCTTAGACGGTGAATTTCTTAATTTACTTTCTTTTTTTTATATGACCATTTGTTTTGAACTCACATTATACTTTAGGAACTAATGATGTGCAGAGGACTTTAATACATTCCTAAAAATTGTCATTAAATTTCTTAAAAACTAGAAAATTTAATAAAGAAAATAAATCTTTATAAGTATCTCCAAAATTCTGAAACAGAGCTACATATAAAAAGAATAAATAGTTGAAAGATAGCAATAAATAATACAAAGAATGCCATTACATACGTACATACGTACATACTGTAGATGTATGTTTTAAAGCTAATATTCAGTTATATTTCTATGCAAATAGAGCAGTACTTTCTTTTAGTTCTTCCTTTGTATAGCAGGTCGATTGGCAAATTCCCATAAGCAGTTCTACGACACCTGTTTGGCCAGTCTCCCCATCCCCCAGACTTGATCTATCGCTGTGATTTTCAAATTCAAGATAATCTTAAGGGCAAACTGTATCATCCTCGACCTGCTACAATTGAGGAAATGAAGTAAAAAAATCCTTGATGAAATAGTCCAAACTGATGTGATGATATTACGTCAAATTATGCAGGCTATCAAAACTATAGTAATGTTGCTATAGAAATGGTAGTTAATCTATTTTACAACATCTTCAAGATCACAATTTGACCCATCTTTCATCAACATGAGTGCAATGTTCTCAATACTAATTAAATCTTCTTGAATTATTTTTTGTTTTCTCTAGATCTCCATTTCAAAATTTCCCATTTTTGAGACACTTTATTTAACTTTTGGGGTTACGTAAGGCTTGAATCTAATGACTGGATAATGAGGTACATTACTGTATAAATTAAAGTGAAGTCCTGTTTGGGACAGTAACTCTTTAGGGTATTGCCTGGAAAGGATCCTGCAGTTTCAAATATTACCGCATTACGTTGGCATGAGTTTTTTAGTGTCTCCATACGGTCACGAGCATGTTTTTCCTGGATATATTGAATAGACAGATGTATATGTAGATATCGTACTAGATATTTAAATATACGATTTAGGGAATTCGTAAGATCCATAAAAATATTGATTTCACAATAATTTCTGGGCTTCCGTTCCAGCTGCGTTTTGTATTTAAAAAATGGAGAGTGAAATTTAAGCAAATGAAGAATTTTTAATTAATCACATTTTGAAAATATCGGAGAACGTGAACCCGCGGGCAAGAGTTTAATTTCCGAAAGAAAATATTTTAAGGAAGAATATTTGATAACAAATTATTCATTGAAACATTTTATTTAGATTGATATCAAATAGCAATAAAATTGAAACAATTTTTCGAGTGTGAAAATGAAACTGATTTAAAGAAGCGAAAGTTGCCACATAATGGGAAAAATCATGTTTCTTTCAAAACCGTATGCTAAAAATTGAACTCCGCTTCCTGAGAACAATTCCAGCAATAAAGTATTTATTTCGATAGTAAGTGCAATACGTATACGGAGACTTCATATTTACGACCATCTCTAAAAGTACCAGTAGTTCTAAAAACATAAATAAACAATGGTATTTGAATCTGGCCAATAAGCATTTTCTTTAAGACAACTTCTTTCACAATAAACTGAAATCGTTTGGAATCCTGAGATATGTTTGGATGATACATGTAAATAACGGAGGGAATAAAAACAATCTAAAATAATTAGTTATTTGAAATAATAAGATTATTATTCTCCATATAATTTTTCCCAGTCGCCTAAACTGTCTTATGTGCCAGCTTTTGAAAAGATTTAGTCAATTTAGGGTAAACACATTTACTCGGAAATCATCCAGAAATCTGAAGAATTTGCTTTATCCTCCCAAGAAGTCCCCCAAAAAACCATATGCCATTCTTTTCCTTTTCCTCTATCTTTAACCTTTTCCAAAGAATCAACTTACAATCTTTGACTTCCATTCATATTAAATCATGAAGTCTTCTCTTCACTTATAAATTCCGATGCCTTGCTTTAACATCAAGCAAATATTTTGATTTTTCAACTTACTTGCAATTAATGTAACTCAGCGGTTTGTCCGTGAAGAATTCGATAACGGGTTGTAGGTTCAAATATGTATGAATAACTAACGATTTGGTTTTCAAGTTCAGATGATTTTAAAGAAAAACATTTGCTTCCTGTTTTATTCTTGCATCACACATGTCTGAATCTGTCAGTGATAAGCGTTATTAGTAAATTTATAAAACTACTGAAAGCGGGGTCAGCAAAATGCCCAAATTCTGTTCCTGGTGCATTGGATTTTTTTGATGACCTTGTGTTTCCAATTGCCATGAATTTTGCGAATTCCCATGGCTGTACGTTTTAGCCAGTCCTAATACGCTTTGCTAGAAATCATTGTTAAAATAAGGATATCACAAAAACTAATTTGGTTGGAAGATTTCTGAATTCACTCATATTTCGGTGAAAAAGCGAAAAGCAAGTAGTTCTGTGTAGAACGATGGACAAGAATCTGTCTTTCGCTCTGCTTTCGAGGTAGAGTAAAAGAAATACCTCTTTTGAGTCCAGCTTTTGAAGATGCTTCTTCTGGTGAAAGCAGTTATTTAGAACGATAGATTTTTCAAGACCGTTTTAAACAACCCTTATGAACGGTACCTAAATAATCGCACATTTTGATGTTCACTTGAAAGGTATCTCCCAGACATAATCTGAGTTAAAAACTGTTTAATTTCAAGTAATACTAGAGTATTATCTCAAAAACTATCCTAATTTTACCACGCCACTTTACCTAGGGGGGGGAGTGTTAAAATTGAAAAGGGAAACAATGTATACCTGCATGCATGTGTATATACGCGTTTTGATTAAATACGAGTTAAAAATATTTGAATATTTCAAAACCATAAGTGAAAAGAATTTCGTGTAATTTTTATATAATGAAGGAAGCATATGCATATTAGAAATAACAGTTAGTATAAAATTACTTTATTTATCACATTAGTGACTCATTAGAATTTTAAACAAATATAATATATATTGCAAATATAATCAAATATACAATTTAAAAAGTTTAAAATACTAAAACGATTTGCAAAATCAATTTGCAAGCAAATTTTGATATTTATTTGTATCAATGACTAGAAGAAATACATTCATCTTTGCCCGAAAATTTCCTGATGTTTGGCCGCATGGACTGATGAACTCCGAGGACTTCATCTGGATTTGTGCTTGCTAGATGACTAGAATTTTCCTAAAAAATGAATAAATAAATAAGTATTTCAACAATTTTAAGATAATTTTATGTTAAAAGGTGCAATTTGGAGTAACCATTTTAGTTTTAAATTTCTCTCCTTCTCCCTATAAAAAATTATATTATCATTATATTTGTTATTTACAAAATATTTCAGGACATTTTTCTAGCGCAGTCTACTGCATTAAAAACATAAACTTGAAATTTTTTATTTCCCATATCAGGTACATTGCTTTCCAAATGTTATAAGGTACTTCTCAGACCTTCTTAGCATGCCTTCGTGGTGTAATGGTCAGTACACTCGGCGTGTGTTTGAGTCCCGGTGAGGGCATTGCTCATTTTTCATGTCTTCTGCCTCAAAAAAAAAAAACTAATGTCTCTACAGTGGCGCCCGAACTAAAGATGGTAAAGAGTAAACCCTCTGAAAAGGTCTCCGTTCTAAGGACAAAACAAGCGGAGTAATGCCAACTCGGAGGAAAATTCGAACGGATGTTTATAGCTTAGACAGATGGTGGTGAATGTTTATTATTCACCACCAGGATTTGGCAATTGTATTCCCTAATCCCCAGTCGCCCTTTAAAAGGGGGAGTATATATAGTATTTCTCCCTTTTTAGCATGCCTTCCTGATGTAATGGTGAGCACACTGGGCGCATATCGAGAGGTCCGAGGTTCGAGTCCTGGCGAGGGCATTGCTCATTTGTCACATCTCCTGCTTCAAAAAATCCTAATGACTCCAGAATATTATATAACAAACAGCTCTTTTACAGTTCGAAACTGAATGTAAAAGCATGATAATGAGTTGATGGTAATGTAACAGTGAAGGATAAAGATTCAAAGTTCGAAAAATATTTACTTAACTGTAAGCTACCACTAACTTTCTGCGCAGTAGACACCCATTTTTAATACAGTCAAGCCTCCATAAGGTTTATATAGGTAAACGCTTTGATTCTGGACAAATCCTCACTATATTTTGAAACAAAATGTTTAAAATATCACGTAAGATATCTGGGAAATGTAGTTTAAATGATTTTATAGGATATAGAACGGACGAAAATGAGCTCCTGAAGATGGTTAAATGTTAATGATATGACTGTCATATTTCTATCAGTTTCTGAATAAAAATCCACAGTTTGAAATACTACAGATCCAGGTCATTCACGAAGTTGCATTCCCTTCCGATCATAACTTTTTGGAGTCTTCGGCTAGAAGAAGAGCCACAACCTCGTCTCGGCTTATATTAAGTCAATTTGTAAAAGAAGGAGAATGTACTACATAGTTCGATCAACAGCAAACGTAACTTTGGCTGGCATTGCTTCTAAAACTTTCGAGTCGTCCAAAAGTAGTGATAATTACTTCGTGACCAAAAGTAGTCCAAAAAGAAATGAGAGGTCACACTAGATCCTTTCTTCGCTAGAAAGAGGAAATTTTCTACCCATGATCATTTTGTCCTAAATTATCTTTTGCACTTCTGGTTCATTTTCGCAGAAAATAAATTCGTTTTCTTATTCATTTGCAGCCTGAGAACCAAGAATTGAACCTAAGCCTGAAAACCAAGGCATTGTTAAAAAAAATCATATGAAGAGTATTCGCTTATTTTTAAACATAATACCACTAAAATCAGTGCATTCTATTCTTTGACCATTTTTCCCTCAGTACGTGTATCAGTGCATGTAGATTTTAGCGAAAAATTCAAAAAGAGATGTAGTAATTACATATTATAGTATAATTATTATAATTAATAAAATTAACTATAATAATAATTTATAATCCTATAAACTAGTAACTAATTATAATAACTAAAAGATTATAGTTATTATAATTAGTTACTAAGAAATGCTTTTTTTTTGGTGTGTTTTAACGCATGTAAGCTTTAATACTGAAAATTGTAAAAGCGGTATAATGATTATTAATTAAAGCGTAATTGTAATAATTATTTAGAGTTGTATAATTATAATAATTATGTTATTATAATTATACGATTATTATCATTGTAATGATAATAAGATAATAAAAATTATATCATAAAATAAAATAATTAAATAATTATTATACCAGTTATATATTGCAGTACAATAATAATTATTTAATACACTTTATCTAAAAATTATATATGCACAGACAAATTAGATTTTGAGAATTCTCATATTTTTAAATAATACATAATGATACATATATAAATAAAAAGTGAAAAATTAACTACGATGTAATCAAGTAGTTAATAACAAATCATGTTCGGTATATCAACTTAGGTAAAAAAAAAGAGCACTTTTCTGCATCCTTGCTATTCTGTGCTGTTTGAACACTGTCGAAATAAATAAGGAAAAAACAACAACGGGAAAATCCTTATTACATCTTTTCTCTCTATTTTTTGAATAAATCCGTTCGTAATATGCATGCGTGTTTGCTTTCATGGTCGCTGTTGTACTGGTCGAACTATACCTGTTTTTATTGTTAAGAAGTAAGCTCTTCTGTATTCCATTGACTTCTTACACAGAGCAGCTCGACTATAGACTGAGTTGAAATATGTCAGGGAGCAGAAAACAAAGAAGCTCAATGATACTCATATGCAAATTGATACTTTCCAAGCTGTGACTCAAGTCGTGTCATGATCTGGAGAACGGAAAGGAAACACGGTATCCAATATTATCAACAAGAGCGCCCAACCGGCGGCCAAGCGGTAAAATCGCTGAACTCTGGCGGTTCAGTCCGAGGTTTGAATTCCGCGAACGGGCTGTCTGCATAGGTGTTTTCGTGGTTTTTCCCATGCGTAAAGTGTATACGAGCCAGTTTCCCTTAGAAAGTCCTTCACGAAGGCATCCCTCCCTTTAGGCAGATAGCTTTCGACGCTTTGCCGTAATTAAATGAATCAATCTTATCAAAAAAAAAAGTCGCTTACAGAGAGAATAGTAATCCGTCAGAAATTTTTTCTAAATCCCCTTATTCACCTCCATACGTTAGCTGGAATATGATGTCTGAAATAACGATATCGAATGAATTTCAATCCAAGAGTATTAAAGGAATTGCAATGGGAATATTACATAACGCATTAAAGTTTATTTCTTCAGATACGTTTCCAGAAATCCTTCGTCGTAGGAACTATCTCATTCCTTGTATGTGTTTCTTGAGGCGTAAGGGAATATCATGTCCAGTTCACGAATAGAAAATCTGTGGTTAGGGATCTCGATGAGAGCAGACTTGATTTTTCGTTCTTACCGTATCGAAAAAAATTAATGATTTCTAGAGACTTCTTCTTATTTGTATAATATTTTCAAAACTTCACTTTATAATTTGTTTCAAACACACAAAATGTACCCGCATTGCAAAATACGATATTATTGATTTAGTAACTTTTAAATCAGTTCAAGTATTTAAGATGAAAGTAACAATATATTTTACCTGTTTAAGCCTGCGCCATTTCGCTCTCCTATTTTGAAACCATGTTTTAACCTATAAAATTCAAAGCGTTATTAAAATGTCAATTGAACAAAGTCCATAGTCAAATGAAATTTTAAATTAAATAAAATAACACATTTATTATCAACTTAAATGTCATCTCATAAAATTAGGATATGGAAATATATTTTCAATTTGTAATTCTGTTTTAACACATCTCATGGAAATAAATCTGCTTGAGACCGGATTATTTAGACTATGGAGAAACACTTGAGAGTTATTTCCTGAAACAGTGGATGCCTTTGGAAAGTGCTCTTCGAGAAAAACTGGCTTTTTAAGAAAATCTTCCTACTTTAGACAGAATAAAATGCCTATACTGATTATATTGTTGCGTACGTACGAGTTCCTAATAGATTGAATGCACAAGTCCGATACTAGGTTAATAAAATTTATTCTTATTAAAAGAAATATATCAGAACGCTGGGATTTTCCTCGGAGATATTCATACAAGTGTTCCCATTAACACGCCGTATAATCAGCAGTTATACTTCAAACTACTAAAAACGTTTAAATACAACGTTACGCAAAGTGTATCTAAAGAGAAAGCTAATTCAGATATCTCAGTTCACTCAAAACTAAGAAACACTCGCAGCAACTCTAAGCAACTGAAACCTAGACGCTATCTCTTCGGCCTTTTATAGTTTTCAAGCGGTGGCGAGAAATTTCTAGTAATTTCTGCTTCCCTAAATTTCTGGAAAGTAATAAGAGGATGTAATTACGGTTACAGCTTACATAGTGGTCAATTGCATTTATTTAATTTCGATACAAATTAACGAGATACTCATTTATTCAATGTTAAAATGCACGTGCTCCTTTTTTTTTTTTTTTTTTTTTTTTTTTTTTTTTTTTTCGGCATAGCTTTATTTTAAAATTTGTCTCGCGCTGCTGCATTGCACGGAGAAATACAATAATTTTAATTACAATTCTACTAAAATTATCTATCTAAATACAAAATTCGTAACAATATTTTTGATGTAGTTTCTTCCACAGTATGTATTCTTTCAAAACGTTATTCATATTACTGATACTGAATTAGTTAGCAGGTTATTAACCTTTTAACTGTCATGCCCGAAATAATCTCAGGCACAGCACTAGTGTTCGAAAATGTCACGCCCGAGTGTTACTCGGGGTAATTTTTTTTTTTTTTTTTTTTTTTTTTTTTTTTTTTTTTTTTTTTTTGTTATACCCGAATATATATCGAGAAATATTGTTATACCCGAATATATATCGGGAGACGTTTATTTCTCGGCTTCATCTCTTTGTCAAACCCGACTGTATCTCGGGAAAAGTTAATGTGCGCTCAGTTCAATAGATGACAGCACTTTACTGAAGATTTCAAAGGTTAGAGGTTATAAGTTTTGGTTCAAGGTGCATGGGATCTTTTTGTTGTAAAATAGCGTCCAGTTCTTTGAAACGTTATATAGATGATTTAGATTCTTCAACCGAAGATGAAGGATGTGTGTTTGATGAGCAGTATTCATGATACTTCCATGGTCAGCCTCAAAAATAAAAAATGGCGATATACTCAAGCCGAAGATTGTTTCTAATTACGGTCTAACTATGGGTGGTGTAGATCGCTGTGATCAGGAAATATCCTTTCATCCAACAATCCGAAAACGTCAGAAAAAAATATATAAAAAGATATTTTACATTTACTAGACAAGGTACTCTGGAACTCATATTTGCTCTATAAAAATGTAGTTGGGAAACGTATTACATTTTTAGAATTTCGAATCCAAGTTGTAGAAGAGCTTTTACATAAATATGATGATGCAGCTTCTGGACAAAAGAATGTTGGCAGACCACCTACAATAGATAACCCTGCCCGTCTTACTGAACGACATTTTATATCCCATTTTCCTCCTATTCCTGCGAAACGTGAGGCCTACAAGACAGTGCAAAGTGTGTTGTTCGAAAAAGGATAAAAATGGGGAAAAGATAAGGAAGGAATCACGATTCTGGTGTAGTGATTGTGGAGTTGGTTTGTGCTTGGAAAAGTGTTTCCAGTTGTACCACATAAGACTGAATTACTGAACTACTAATAGGTATTCACTTATATTTATTTATTTTTTAGAAAATAGTTAATTTTTTTCATTTTTAGAAAATAATGCTCCACTAGAAGCGAACTTTGCAACTGCCATGTTGAGTGACAGCCGCCTCAAAGAAATATGCAGTGGCTACAAAACTTTAAAAATTTTACCCATGTACGTCAAAATATCAATTTTTAACTACTTAAGTATATTTTATTTTGTACTAAACATTTGGTTTTTGCAATAAAAAAATTTGACAATTTGTGTACCCAAATCATCAAAATAACTTGACAGTTAAAGGGTTAAAAAGAAAGCAAGGCTATCTGTCTTGAGGAATACCTTTGTTGAGAATTTTTTTAATGAACTGGCACGTAGTGTCATTACAACACAGAGGAAACCATAAAAAAAGTTTGGTGGGCTAATATCGATATCACAACATGGATTTTGAACATCCGTACACGAGCTTCACTGATGATCGTGCGTCCATAAAACGACTTTTGAATGTTACATCTCTTTTTCTGTTATAAATGTATGTTTACATCTTATTTCAATAAATTCTGTCCATTAGCTTTTTTCGAAATTCGACAATTCTCTTAATTTTGCGCACGGCTTAAGGTCCGTATTCTTACATTATTTGTAAAGCTTAACATTTAGAGTTAAACATTATTTCCTTATCACGGAGTCACTCTCTTGTCTTTCATATATTGACATCATTTATAAAGTTTATGTCTGGGAATTAGATTTCGTATGGTCTTGCCACGAGTTGAAAAAAATTTTACTTACCGTAAAATTTCATCACCGAGTACCAGTTAGTCATACGACAAATAAAAGTTCTCTATGACTGAAAAGAACCTTTAGAAAGTCTCTGTCAAATGTTACTGAAAATCACATTATAAATAATATACATTGATGTGAATCTGGTTTTTACTGAAACTGGAAGCTAATGTGTACTATGTTCCGAAATAATAGGCCTCGGTTAGGCTACAAAAATACAAGAATTAGGCAAATATTTAAACTTGTATCCCGCATTACTGATTCTTGTAAAGTAGCTGCTAAACCGAAGTCAGAAGTTCCACCTTCAGAAAATATTTCTGATCAAAATAGGAGTTTTTGTTTCTAAAATTTATATTTTATCTCTAAGTAGATCTGAAATACATACTGTCATGTCTAATGATAGATTTGCATTCTTTTATTTGGGCTACTGATAAATCAAATGAGCAAAGCATTTTTCTCAATAAGCGGGGTTTCTTTTTATTATTTTATTTTATTTCTCAAAAAGAAATCTCACCTGTCGCTCCGTTAATCGCAAAGCAGATGCCAGTCTTTTCCTTTCTGTTGGAGATAGATACTTTTGATCTGTAAATGTTTTCTCCAGTTTACCTGTTTGATCGTTCGTAAAACGAATTTGCCCACCTTTTCTTTTTGGTGTATTCCTGTGCAGAACATGTTTCCAAATAATCGGTCTGTTACTCGAACAATCTGCAATACGTAATACACTCTAAGAGAAAAATTCGAGTGTTAAATGGAAAGAAACCAAATAAAGTGCAGAAAAATAATATTAAAATACATTGTTTATTGCATATATTAGCACATAATTTTGTAACTGTCACACCGGTATATAAAGGAGTTTCTTTACTTTATCTGGGAAACATTGCATAAATCAGTTGATTAAGGTTATAAAATCATTGAACCCTAGTGTTAATAAAATAGACATCAATTGAGCTAAATTTATTTTAAATAAGTAAGGAAAATTTCGTTAAGAATCTAAAGAAGTTCTGAATATTTTATTTCGTCATTTGACTACTACCTTTCTTTAAAACTTTTATGTGATACACAGAAGAATTCTTATTAACCCTTTGCGGCACAGTGTGTCCGGTCTGGACACACCTAAAAATTTCCTTCTGTACGCACAGAAAAGTTGAATGAAAAAAAGATCTATAAGTTACTATAGGTTACTCTGAACCTTCTTTATTTATAGTAGATGGCAGCTCAACACAAAACAGTCCATATATTTTAGCCATGTTTAGTTTTTTAAGACCCTCATTTTTCAAAGAAATCTTCCAGATTCTTTTTTAGGGTATAGAAGGAATTGTTTGAAAAGAAAATTCTATATTATTTTTTGGCTGTATGCTAATCTCCTTATTCTATATTAGTTTTAAATTTTTACGTTGAAATCTTGTCTAAAATCAGATGGCGAATCCTAGGTGTGCCCAGACCGGGCTCACCGATAATCCAGGACAACTGAGAGTCTGTATTCTTTGTTTCTCCGCATCTCATCGGTCAGTTCATTGACAACAATGCTCGTTTCAGCCCTCTTTTCGAAGTTCTATTCAATCAGTGTGCCACTTTGGGCACGCCCACAGAATTAAAACGATAAGTGCTATCTTCACAAAATTTACCTCTAGGCCTAATTAGACTGCCTACCTTTTTAATTTTTTTTTTAATCAAAACTCCGACTTTAAAAGGTAGCGTGCCGGAAAGGGTTAACGTCCACGCTTGGCATTATTGAATACATAAACCTTGAAACGACCTTGTAAGGTATATTTTAATTTTATAACGGCTATTTTTAATATAATTGTGCTTTCCTTTGTTTCCTCTTTTCAACTTACAAATCCCTGCCAGAATGAGTTTTTAGAATCGCGTTGAACGCAAATGAGGAAGAAGCCGTATTAAAGGAAGGTTCAACTTACTTCGAGAGGGAGAGCTAGGAATCCTGAGTAGCACGTGTTTGCCTTCGGGCTAAGCTGTTACTCTCGGCCGTACATTACGTGCCTTTTAGATAGTCGCCGGCTAATTTAAATTTAAGGGCCAACTACGTTAAATTTGCGTTAGCTTCGACTAAGTCTGTTAGTTAGTGATAGTTAGTTCTTAGTTCTTATTTTTGAGTTTAAGCCCAAGTGGAGGCTTTGTTGTAAGCCCGAAGAAAGGGACCGACTGTTCATCTTATCTGAGGGAAATAAAGGGTAGTTAACCCTTCTAAAGTTAAAGATTTCTGTTATTTGAACTAAGTGATAATTCGCTGAACAATTTATTAGGTTCCTCGACCTTTACTTTAAGAAGAAGGAACTTTACAACTTTATGAGAGCTAAAAAGAACAAGTTTTTTTTTTTTTTTTTTTTTTTTTTTCCTGTCTTGGGATGCAAGAAAAGATGTGAAATTCTGAAATATTTTAGCACACTGGATGTTCTTTCACATAAACCATATTAACATCGATATTTTTTAGCTCTAATATTACAGATACTATTTGTTGAGCACTGAAGAATAAATTTTAAAGCAGTCCTTGATCAATAGGGAAAGCAAACATAAGCGAGGTAGATAGATGAGACACTAAGTTTTACGAAGCAGCGAATACGACACATCAACTGTGCCCTATCAGGATTCGAATTGGGGATCTTCAATTTTCCGGCTGGACCTGTTACCAGCTACATCACAAAAGCATGAATGAGTGAATGGGAAAATTACTTATACTCTCTCCCTCAAAGAGAAAATGGGAAAATGACGAGATCCAGGTGACCAAATACAAGTGGGGAAGCCTAAATATTTTTCACCTGAGGCGGAGAGATAAATGCGCCCCGTTATATGAGGGAGAAAAAGAAGTATTTATTGTATATACAACGCACACAGTGCAACTAAACTTTATCTGTACGTTTTTGTACTAATTAAAGTTATTTCAAATCATAGCACCATAGCCTTTCTAAAAATATTTAATCATTGTATTACGTATTCAAAAAAGGGTACTTTTATAGTAATTTACAGTTTTGAAGTGAAATGCATTAAAAACTTCCTTTTTAATAAATGGGAATTAACACTGAATAAGTATAAATTGCAATGTAACTAATGTAAATAACATTGCGCTAGCATCATATATATATGTGTGTGTTACTGCGAAAGACTGATATCTGGCAAATGTTGGAATTCCTCCGTGAATGTCAGCATTTAAATAGTCACTTGGTGGATGTCCGAAATATTTGCTAATTATCACTATTTCTCACTTATACCAGCAAATGTCGACATTCAGCATGCACTGATGGTGAATGTTGAATAAAAATATTTTTGTTACGCTAAAACAAAAGTGCAATTTTTTAAATCTTACTTCGTTATAACATATTATGATATATATCAAAATAGGACAAAGCTTAATTAATAGCACATGTAAATAAACTGTTGAACCTAAAAAAGACAGTACATTCTAAATCAAAAGAATAATGATAATATTACCAATAATGAACTTACACATAAATCACGTGATTGCCATTATACAGTCTTATTTATTACAACTTAAACTATTATGACACTTTAAATTGCACAAGAATCCCTTGCTTTTACAACTGCATTTAGTTCGTGGAACACTTCTTTTTGCAATTACAGAGTGTATAGACTTTCCCTTCACTTCTCGAATTTGTTGTAACTCCTTATCTCAGTGACATTTCTTGAGAAGTTGGTTACTTGGGTTAGGGCTTAGAAAATCTTTTACGCATTTTTCTGCGATAATTCTTTTAATGATTATCTTAATGAATTAACACAACTTTTAGTATCTGTAATATGTATTTTTCTTGATATTCCGACTTTTTTTTTCGGTAAATTGTTAATTCTCATTTATATCCGCACATTACATTACAATTTCCTTTGTGGTGTTATTTCCGACTTAGATTTCTCACTCGTATGACTTTTAATTGCTTTATTTTTGTTGCTATTTTTAATTTGTTTGTACTTTTGAATCAAGATTTTCCGAATTTTAACATAGTTTTTATGTGTTTGGACCATACATGATATTTGTTATCATTTTTAATTTTAGGTCTGTATTTTAGTTTCACTCGCAATTCTGTATTTTCTTATTCTCTATGTACTTTTAATTCATTTTTCGCATTTTTCATAAGAGTATAGTCATCATCATAATCTCAATATTTAAAGTACTTTAACTGTTTTATTACTTACTTTATGTAGAGCTTTCTAAGTCTTTCACATGTTTAACAATAACTTCCTTACGATGTGCAATATTTTTTAATTAAATCTTTCATTTTCTACTTGTAACCTCAACTACTACCCATATGCTTCTCATTTAATAGTTATTTTGCCTATATTTCATAGTTTTAATTTACATATTATACATTTTTCATTTGTAATACTTCCCACAGACTTGCCATTAATAATTCTTACATTTTATTCCCTTTTAAACGCTATTATTTAACATTTTAAGTCTTTATAATTTCCTGCATATTCCGACATTTTCTTATAATTTTTACTTTATGGGTTGTATTTTCTGAGCGTAAATGATTATCCATGTGATATTATTTGAATCATTTAGAGCTTAAATTTTCTTCCACTGCTTTAACTTTTCTTGGCATGATGTTTAGTTTCAAGCCCCAAATTTTGAATAACTAATTGGAGATATTCTCGCTTTTTAAGTTTTAGAATGAATTCACTGCTTTCATCCGTAATTTTAGAATCACATTCACGGTCTCGTCCGATCATGCCAATTTTTTTCTCTCCTTCTGACATTTGATACTTCTTAATTCAGTATTTGTTGTTAATTTATTGAATCCATACCATTATTTTTGATATTTTGACTGAGATTTTTATGTATCAATTTTACTTTACTATGTTTTGTCTGCCTTTAATAATTTCGACTACGTTTGTTTTCTTGACAACTGACTCTCTGTAAGAAACCAGCACTTATTTGTGTTAAGTATGGGATGAAATATCTACAAACCAGCAGTTAGATCAGCGTTTTATTACTAAAACTACTCAGAATACTGTTAAGTTCATAAATATATCGGAATATAATAATTTAAGAATATAATGAATGATTTTTACAGTAATGTTTTGAACTGCTTAAAAATCAGCCGTCACTATGTTAATCTATGTATCATCAGTTATTTACCTTACTAAATTCAATGCATGCGTACATGTATATTTCAAGTTAATATTTCATAGTCTTTTAAATTCTTACTTTTTTATCAATAGTATATAATTAGCAAAGAAGCCTGAAAATGCAGCGCAGCTCAAGGCTATTATTGGCTGTTATTGTGCAGTTGTGCCGTGCAAATCGTGCAAAAAATGCATGCTGAAGGGTTGCTACGAATGCAAAGGTTCGCTTGCAAGAGGTTATGAAGCAAAATGCTGAATACATTGAAATTGTTCTGCACTAAACTCCTTTTCAGTGCTTGGGCAATTAACTATGCATTCATTTTGTAACACTTCGATGATAAATATGTAATAAACAAAACAAATGAATTACATTTTTTCCGCCCCCCCCCTGTGTCTATATACTAGAAACAGAATTACGATTCAGAAGCATAATACAAAAATAAGTAGTACTGTTAATTGTTGAATATGAATGTTTTTATTTAATAGTAACTTTGTTATATCCTTTTTTTCAATAGCGGGAAACATAAGTTACATAAAAATTAAAATTATACCAAAAAGTAAAATATTTCATGGAAAGAAAACTAAATGCTGAAACATTGTATATCTTGTAA